GCTGGCAGCCCATCTGCGTGTAGCTTGCGGTAGAAAGTCGTGACGCATATTTTACTCATAAAATGCCCTCAAAAAAGCCCATCCGCAGTAGCTGGCTCCCATATTTATGAAGCTGATGCTTAGGCAAAGCTGAGTGCTCTGAGAATTACCTGCGCAGCTTTATCTCATTCGCTCTCAGCTTAATTTCCAATTTTACTGCCGTGTCTCAGCTCCTAGGCTGCAGACCCGTCAGCATTTTTTGCATCATCTTCGTTTTCGTTATGCTAACTTTTGGGCCCAGTTCCTTAATTTCGTGTATTAAACTCCTAAAAACAGCAAAAAAAAACATACTTTCGTAGCTTTTTTTCCTTTTTTTTAACGGCTCGCCAAGTTGGATAAGATTTGGAATATAATATTTGTATTTATCAAATCACTCACTGATCTGTGTTTGATGTTTTTATTATTGTTGTTAGTGGTATCGTGAGTTTTTTTTATCATTGTATGATCTCATTCAACATATACAAGTAAAATTTTCACTATTTTTTTTTGATTTTTTTGAAATTTTCGCTCTGAAATTCGAGTTCGTTTGTCGAATTTTCTCATTTCAGCATTGCTTGGTTTATATTAAATTAGCAGAGCATCATTTTCTTGCGGCATGAAATAATATTGAAACGAAAAATGCAGTTTTCCTATTGGGATAATCAGTCTTTTTATGATTTGTTTTCATTCGTTTCAATGGTAAATTGGTACTGGCATATACTAGCGAGTCAAGTCCACTATCAGCTTGTTTTTTAAGCAGTTCTCGAAAGAGGGATTAATCGACAGCCTTGCGAATAAGTGTTTGCTTTTGTAAAAATTGTCACTTTTTTGTTACTTTCGGACGCCCCCAATCCTTTTATATTGAGGGTTGTGCGGGAAATTTCGATTTTTTGAGCAGTTTTCTCAATGGTTCTCTTAATCGCTGTAGTACATGAAGTCTGGAAAATTTTTGCCACTAGGATTAGCCAATTTTTGACCGAACCACAGAAAAATACCTAGCAGTTGAGTGGAGTTGATTTTGCTAATGCAAGAGAGGTAATAGAAAAAGTGTAAAAAATTACAGCTCGATCTACTTGTTCTAAAAAATTACATTCTGTTCAAGAAGATTATCACTAACCAACTAACAAGACTTCGGAGGGGAAATTGATATTTCGGTTCTTGCTTGAAGAATAGAGGTCAAAAGACCGTACTGGATTCCGAAGGAATTACAGCAAAATGAATCAAATTCCAGTCTCAGTTTCTAAATTTAATTTTGTTTCGATTTTAACAGGTTGAAATATATTCCCACCTCCTTTTACGTTCTTTTTTTTTTGGAAGAATGAATAAAAATCATTGAAATTTTTACAGTTTTCTTCGCAACTCGAAATGTTGGAACTCAATGTGAAACAGAGCGGGATAAGTAAAAGAGTGCTGAATGTATTGTACAGGAAAACGAAAAGTGGCAAAGTTGTGAAGGTTAGTTGCAAATCTTTAAAAATTATCGCTGTTGTATATATAGGGTTCGAGTTTTTTACGACCATTATGTTCTAAATGGCACTTTCAGTTTTTTATTAATTGTCAAAATTCGACTGTGTTCCTCCTCACGGTGGCCAAGAACGCCAAACAAACCGCGCATTTTAACACATAAGAGACATCAGGCTCCCTTCCTCTTCCAGCTCCCCAGCCAAAGATATTCATTGTTTGCTTCTTTAAAATTTCTGAAACAATATGTCCTCCGAAAACCTCAGAATTGAGAATCAAGCTAAACTTAAGCATTTACCTCACTAGTTTTACTAGAGGCGCAGAAAAATGTAAAGTTTTTTTTTTTTTGTAGAGAGTACATGAGCAATATTTACGAAATGATATTGGTTGTGGGCTGGATTCATGCCGTTGCTGTCAGCCAGTTGAGGGTCATTCTCTCACTGACCTCAGTGAACGAATCTCCTCAGCGGTACCCATAAATCATGCGATCATCTTGGATTCCTCAGCAATTATCCGTTTTCACCATCTCTTCGAAAATCCGGTTTTTTCGTGAGTTTTTGGAGTCTTTGATGATGGTTGGGCACTGAAGGATTTCTGAGAGAATCTACAGAACTTGTCCTGTTACATGGTTTTCATTCTGTTATCCGCGTTCTTTTTTTGATATTTATCTTTACTGGCGTGAATGGGGTCCTTTGCAAAAATCGTTCGGACCGGGAGGGAATCGAACCACTCACCTACACGCCAGCACGCAATGTGTTACCACTACACCACCGATGTTTGTGCTGCCGGTTCAGTCTGTAGCCTGGCAGCGCATCTACTGTGTATCTGTCTTTCAGCGCAAATGCACCTCTTTTTTTTTTTGTGGCGACTTTTTGGCCGACTTTTCTTGGGTTTTCCGCAGCACTTGTTATTCGACTTATTTTTCCCACACATCGTCCTTTTGAAATTATCATTTGGTGCAAATTTCACAGCATCTTTGACATAATCCTCAAAAAGTAAGACGGAATATGGCTGCTATCGAAGGAAGAGCAAACGTTGGTTGCGTCAAAGGGACTAATGGAACTGGTTGTCCAGCGGATTTGCTATTCCTCTATTTTTGGTATTATTTTTCGCAGTAGACCAGAACGGTGGTACCTCACTATTTGCACCTTACTAATGTTTAAGAAGGCTACTTTTTGAACAGACCTGCTTCTCCATGTTTTTATGCCCACATCAAGCGGAGCCACATATTTGAGAATGTTCTTTTTAGAAATATAATTATCACGCAAACTGTATGGGAAGATGTGAAGAAATCAAATCCGCCAGCATACAAATCTATGCTGACGCTCTGCTATGAAAGCCCCGATCGGAAAGTTTATGTTTTTATGGATGATTTTCATCACGAAACGCATCTGGATCGTATTACTGGCGAAAGTGAAGAAGATCGGTGCGTTTTTTGCGTTGACGGAATCAACAACGTACCCAAGGGAGGGGGTAGTGGTTTTTCGCCTCACCCCCTCCCCAGGGGCTTAAGTAGCAATTATTTTACTGTAGAAAAATCTATTTGAAGCCCTCTGTCGCGCCCCCCCCCGACACTGGGAGACCGGCCTGGATCTGCCTATGGGCGGAATCGAATTTTTGGCATTCATTGCTTGAGTAGCATTTGTAATTCACTTACATGCATAAGAAAGTGTGCGAGAAAATTTTCAGATTAACACGATCACTTTTAACATGTGCCAGATATTACGAGGAACACTGGAAGCATTTTACGATAACTCCTGTACTTATCTGTGGTACTGCTACGGGGAAAAATCGCCTGACGGAGCAATTTAAGAATGTTTTCACGTTGCAAGAATATGTTGAGGGTATTGTTTTTACCAATTAATTATCAAAGTGAACGAATTTCCTCACCCTGTACCTCAACTAGAATAGTGATGATACTTTGGTTTGAAAAAAGAGCGATTTTCTTCTTTTTGCTCAATTTTTGGTGTTCTGGGCTTTTTTGAGTGAAAATGCGATCTCAAAACGAAAACAGCAGTGTATTAGTCTTCGTTTTGAATACCATATTTTCATCCAAGATGTTTTTCATAATATTTTTTTTTTTTTGAAGTTTGTGCCTAAAATTGATATAGTTTGTATTTTAAAAGGGGCAGGTGGTGTTTTTCACAATATTTTTTTGAAGTTTGTGCCTGAAATTGATATAGTTTGTATTTTAAAAGGAACAGGTGTAAGCTTTTTTTAAGGTCTTATTTTTAATAGAATTTTGTAAATATCCCGACTTATGTTTTTGTTTATTCAGTTCTGAAGTTAATACTCATCCGCACGATCGATGTAGAGACTCGCATGCTGTACTCAACGTATATAGGAGCATCCCAGTAACATTACTCGCTTATCGATCGTCTTATTTTTAACTCTTAATAACTCTCAAACATTACAGACTCTTGATCTCTAGCATCGATTATCTCGGCATTCTTAATATTTTTGATAAATTTTCGGATTTTTCAGATTTAATTAATCATTAAGTTGACGATGTTTTCAACTCTTTTAAAATATCATTTATAATGCTTATCGCGACCCTAAAGTTTAACGTACTACACTAGTGGCATGCCCTGCATGTGTGTGTGTGTGTGTGTGGGAACACCTACTTTATATATATATATATATATGCATATATATAGACATAGTTATATGCATTAACTAAAATAATATAGCGTAAATTAAGATAAGGCAGTAAAAAAAAAGGTGGTGAAATTCTTGGGAGTGGAAGCTGCCCAGAACAGGGATAAGTAGAAAGGATTAGCTTTCTCGAGTAGCTCTGGAGTGGCTGTGGTTCCTGGAAATGGGGAAGAGTGCTTTTATACCCCAGGGGCCAGAGATTACTAAGACTGCAAAACTTTAACGGAGTATGGTGTCCGTAGGTTGAACCGGGGACCGGGGTATTGCACCACGGTGACACAGTTGTTCTTTACGCCATTTCTAACAAAAAACCATAAATCATTATTCAACTTTTTATGTGACATGATCTTAGGCATGGAAGATAATGCGGATTTATTGGACAAAATTGTTGCTTACAATGCAGAAGCTGATAGCCGTGGTCGTATCCTGTTCCCAGAGCACCTACCACATGATGTGATACAGAATGGTATTCGAAGTGGCAAATACAAGAAAGCCGCTTTTCAGGTATGAACTGAAGTGTTTTAGGATTTCAACAGTTTAGTTATGAAACGCTTTTTTACTCCAATATTAGAGAATTGATCGTTACCTCGCCGTGTTTTAAGAATATCAGCATTCGAAATGTGATTGTGTTACTCAAGACACACGAATGATGTCTCGAAACGGCCAAAATTTGCGAAATTCTTTTTTAGGCGAGCTGGTTTTTTAGTAATTTCTTCGAGGGACGAAGGGTGAGGAGAGAGGGACGGGGGGAGGGAGACGGGAGAGGGAGGGGGAACAGGGCGGGGAAGGGGGGGGGGGG